AGGTAAGTAGGAATCTCGCCTACAGTATGAATAGATTTTTAAAGAAAAAGTTACACATGTTATATATGCATGTTTATGCTTTAAGTATTGTATGCGATGTTATGTCATGCTGTATACACATAAACAGCGCACATGAATTATATGTGTTTGAGTTAATTTAATATTATGTATACTATGTTAGATCATACTGCATACACTTAAGCAGTGCACATGAAGTATATGTATTTGAGTACATTCTATGTTATAGTATGCTTTGCTATGTCATATTGCATACACCTTAATAAGTCAAGAGGAACTTATAAGAATAATTATCAGTTGAGTGCCGTACCAGCCTCCACAAGGGAGGTATGCTCCACAAGGGAGAAACAGAAAATAACAATAATGTCCTCCGACTCAAGGGAGGCATTCAAGTTATAATCACGGTGTCGTGGGGGACCTTGCAAACCCTCACGTTCCGATGATTGCGCGCAAGTGGTACGCGAGCACTCGGGCCCATCAGTAAGAAAGATAAGATAAGATAATAAGATTATGATAAGACATCATAATTAAGCATAATCAGCTCATGCATATTTATTCATGTGTACTTACAGTTATTTTGTGAGATATAGTTCCTACTTGCTGAGCGAAAGCTCAATCAGATATGTTCATGCTGTAGGTAAGAAACCTATCAGCAATTCTTGAAGGGCAATGGCAAGCGGCGGACGAATGGTGGAGATGGGAATGGATACCGCTCACGCAGTTATCTTCCGCAGTAAGTTTAAGAAAAATCATGTATATGTATATATGATTTAAAGGTTTCAAGCATGTATGTTTAAAAAGTATAGGTACATATGTATGTTAAGGAAACCGAGGTTGTAGCTAACAACCCTCGTTTTGAGTATTTAAGTTTTAGAACGTTGCAACAGAGCATGCAACAAATAAATAAATTTTAAATATGACGATTTAAATGATTGATTTTAAAAGGGCTTTAAGATGTACTTGAATTTAAGATTTCTCACGAAATCCGTTTTAAAGTCAAAATTAAATGGCCCGATTGAATTGGCTAGTTTTAGAAAGACTTTTAAAGAGCATTTGAAATAAGAGTTCAAATGCTGCTCTGTTTGAAAGATATTTTTAGAACGTTTTATCTTAACTGAAATTAAGAAAAGCTTTAAGAAATTTAGTGATTCACTTATTTGAAATTATTGTTACAAATTATGAAAGTATTCTTTCTTATATTAAAAAAAAAAAATGTTCCGCAAATTTTAAGAAACCCCAGTAAGTACAAGTTAAAGTTTAAGTTACAGTGGCGGCCTCATAGGAGGGTCGTCACACAAACAAACTTGGACAAGGAGGATTTGGCCCCGTTTATAGGGTAATGTGGAGATCGTTGTCGCAATATTTACTAGGCTCCTTTTTTAAGCAGGTTTCACAAATAATGATGTATGAAGCTTTTCTTTCAGGGTAAATTTCCTGGGGGACAAGAAATTGCTATAAAGAGGCTCTCGAGTAGTTCAGGACAAGGCTTACAGGAATTTAAGAATGAAGCTTTGTTGATTGCTAAACTTCAACATCGCAATCTTGTTCGACTTTTGGGCTACTGTGTTGAAGGAGATGAAAAGATGTTGCTCTATGAGTATATGCCCAACAAAAGCTTAGACTTCTTCCTATTTGGTTAGTTTCTCTAGCCCAAGTTAATCAATTTTCAGTTCTGATAACACTATTTTATTTTATTTTTTTCTTTTAACTGTTATGGTTACTGATTGTAAATTTTAAGATGTTGATAAGGTTATTTTAGTAATGAACACTGATTGAACTTACAACTGGGTACATCAATTAAATAAATATTGAGAGGTGTAGTATACATAAATTCGTAGAGCTCAAAAGGGTTACTAAACTCGTGATTTGGTTATGGAAATCCCTGCAGATCGAAAGATGTGCATTTTGCTGAACTGGGAGATCCGCTTCGACATCATATTGGGAATTGCTAAAGGGCTTCTTTATCTTCACCATGACTCAAGGTTGAGGATTATCCATAGAGATATGAAAACTAGCAATGTCTTACTTGATGGAGAAATGACCCCAAAAATTTCAGACTTTGGCTTGGCAAAGATTTTTGGAGGGAAACAAATGGAGGCAACTACAAACAGAGTAGTTGGGACATAGTAAGTACTTCAGGTGCACTTTCTTTAATAACTAAACTGGTTTTCTTTTTCATTAGTACGTGTTTGTTGGATTTTAATTGGAAGGTTCAAATCACTGACCAACTAACTAATTGTGTCATGCAGTGGTTACATGTCTCCAGAGTATGCAATACATGGGTTATTCTCAATCAAATCTGACGTTTTCAGTTTTGGCGTCGTGATACTTGAAATCATTAGTGGGAAAAGGAACACTGGATTTTATCACTCAGAAGAAGCCTTGAGCCTTCTAGATTATGTGAGTGTTACTACTTCCTTTTTTTTTAAGCACTACTAGTTCTCTCTGTTGCAATCTAATTAATTTTATCTAATGTATTTTAGGCATGGAAATTATGGAATGAAAACAAGGCACTGGATCTGATCGACCCCATATTGAGAGAGACTTGTAGTAGCGAAAATGAATTCATGAGGTGTTTCAACATAGGACTATTGTGCGTACAAGATGACCCAAGCGATCGTCCCACCATGTCAAATGTTGTCTTCATGCTTGGTAGTGAAAGTGGAAGTCTTCCAAGTCCTAAGCAACCAGCCTTTTTGGTGAAAAGATCACTTTCTTGCAGAGCTTCTTTTGATGAGAAACCTTTGTCCAGAAACAAGTTAACGGATACCTTAAACGAAGGCCGGTGACAACTTAGACTCTATTCAAGCAGATTCCTTGAATTAAGGGTACTTGATTCTGCGGATCGGAGGCTCTAGTACTTCATCTGCTTTGATGTTTGTTTGATTGGTTCTGAACTTTTGCGCCTGTTGGATTGGTGCAAGGGTCGAATTGGTGAATTTCTGTGTTCATTTGTGTCATTGTTCTTAGTATTATAATTGGTTCTTGAAGAAACTTTGAGGATGTTTGTCATAATATAAGAATAATGAACGTTTAACCAACGGAATAAACATTAATATCCGCATATGCTGAAGTATCCTATATTTGAGAGATTGCCAAGAGAATGAGCTCAGTCCTAAGAGTTGCTGAAAAATATAATTTATCACGAAAATATGAAAGACTAAAAAGGAAACAGCACAAGATGGTTGGATACTCTGTCCTAGCCAGCAAGAATTTCGGTGAGAACACACTGTATAGAGACCATTCCATGGCCACTATGTACAACGCATTTTGTCAGTCGTCATTATCGAACTTTATACCTATGGAAATTAGAAAATTACAGAGGAAATTTCACGTTAATTTGGAAAGTTGCTTGGTCAATACTTGAATGTTCTTCCTGAAAAACATAAATGAGTGGTTGGAAAAGTAAACCAAAGTAAAAGGACCGTGACATGTCCCCCGGTTGAAGATAGAGATCTTCGCGAGTGTTCAAAACTAGTTAAACTGAACTTGTAAAAGGATGTCAACTTAGCGTAAACTAAGATCCAATGTTCCAAGTTTAGAACAAAAAGAAAACTTTTATGCCGTTTTTTTATTCTCTCTTTTTTAAACAATTTGTATAGCAGTTATTTTAAATTAATAGCGCGTGCGTAGAGCCCATTCAAAACTGAAACTAAAAAAAACTATAAAAGATAAAGTAAAAAAGAAAAAAAAAAAGCTGTTGATTTGTGGCCTTATTTTACATTTTAGCACTATTTTGTGCCAAATTTTTGACGTTGTTGAGATAGAAATACTATAAATAATTAGTATAAAAAGTAAAATTAAACAAATACTCTAAAATAAAATAAAATCACACTGAATTAATTAAAAAAACATAACAAACAAAATAAAATAGAACTAATTTAAAATACAACAAAATAAGTAGTTTTTTTTCCTATCTTTTGCTTCAAATTTCTCAAAATTTTTTTTCTGCTTTTGTCTTCATTTCTTTTGTCTTTTTTTTTTTTCTTCTTGAAGTTGATAATGATGGACATAAGAAAACGCGCAATATAATAAAATACTTTTTCTTATTCTATGCAATATCTGTCCATTTTCTCATAGTTGATAAGCGGAAAATAAAATTAGGTTGGTTTGGAAAAGTATATGAAACTAACATGCACATATGGTCAATACCTTGACTTATCCCTGCTGACTTGCAATTCTGATTATTTAATTTACTAAAGTAAAAGTATTGTTTATACTCCTCGAATTTCTACAACCTAATCGGTACGATCAGAAATTTATAAATTCCTGGCCTTTCCACGGCTTATGGTTGATTTGTGTGTGTGTTTGGGTAATCTAGACAATAACTGGCATATAATTTTGTAACGTCTGTTATTTTGAATAATTAGTGAGCCCTATTTTAAACTTCGGTGATGTTTTTACGAAATTTAAGTCTAAAACTGACGTTTGATGCATTATGAAATTTTTGAATTTTTACATTTTCGACACAAGGTTTTGTTAAAATTACATTTTTGACCCAAAAGTTTTGGAAAATTATAATTTTTGCCTTCGATTACAAAATTTGCATACAGCCTTTAGAATCTTCTAGCTGTTCCACGTGAACTTCTAATTTATTTCTTAAGCACCGCCTGACCTTTATAGCTAAGGAATATATGCTTAGAGGGCAAAGGAGAATTGAGAAAGGGAACCGAATATGATAAAACACTGTTATGTACTGCTTCAAACAATTGTTCATGCATGATCAGATGTGACTATAAAAAAAAGAATATGATAGATGTAATTCTACATGACAATATTATTCAGGTTTTAAACGACAATCAGTTACGATGGAATGATTAATATTAATAGTAAAAACGATAGTCGTTTATTAGTGTGTCTTTTAATATTTTTTGCCACATTAATCATATTATAATAAGATATCTACTACTTTGTAGTTTTAAATTGCTGGTTTTCAGTTTCTATCATGTTTATCATATTATTTTCGAGTTTTTAATTTTAATAAATCTTGAAAATTCCTAAAATCGAGACAGTTCATTCTTATATTTAGTCGGACAAAAAGGTTTATGAATAATTATTTTTATAGAATTACTATTCCATCAAATGGTTAAATAATTATTTTTTAAGTGAACCAATTGAATGATCATTCTATTTCATAACTATTATTAATTAAAATTCTCTCTCCTTAAATTATCCCTCCTAATGTTCTAAAATTTACATTAAACAACACCATCCCAATATAAAAACATATCTTTCCATTAATCCTAAAGCAGCCCCCCCCCAAAAAAAAAAAAAAAAAAAAAAAAAAAAAAACTCGTTCTTACTCATATTTTGTTTGACTTATTATTTTTTTAATCTGATCATGGATAATACATTTGAGACCTTTTATGTTAGAATGATATTGATACTTTTATGTATTTATGTAGTTCACTTTCTTTTTATTATTTGAGTAATTAATCATATATCATTATTATATAAAATGTTTGAATTTAGTTTGAATTTAAACATAAAAAAATGATTGAATTTATCATATCAAATAAAATGTTTGAATTTAAACATCAAGAGAAAAAAAAAAGTACTTTGAAAAATATTTGAGTTTAGTTTTTAAACTTTATTAATGATTAAATGGAGGCGTATTTTAGTCAAAACATATGTTATTCTGCTTTGTTCAATTGACTAACGAAATATAATAATTGTGATTCCAAAATTAATTTTAATACTACTCAACCAAACAATAAAATTTAAATAAATAATTTAATCTATTCCTATTCTCATTGCATTATACTTCTATTCCTATTTCTATTCTCATTCTATTTAAAATACTATCATTAGACAATAAATACAACCGTATTTTTTAATTAATTAAACTAACAGAAAAATTCTATGTTATCTGGAGTATGAGAACAAAAAATCTTTAAAAATCACCAATATAATACAAATTTCTTTTGAAAAGATATACAATTATTCACTACTAAATTACATCATAATTATGTCAAAATAAAAGATATAATAAATTTAATAAAACTTAATTCAGGTCTCACATCGACGTGTTTTTAATATTAGATTTTCATCGGTAGTTACCTATTACATATAAAAATTAATAACGTAACGTGATAAAAATCTAATTATATTAATTGTCATAAATTTTTTAATAAACTATTCAATTTATTCAACTATCGGATTAATATTTTACGGTTAAAATAATGAAAGTATTAGATCAATCCATTAACACTACAACCGCTATATATACATATATGTGTGTGTATATATATATATATATATATATATATATTTTTTTTTTTTTTTTTCTCCAAGAAAAAGAAAGTGAGAGCACGTATCTGTTCCAAGACAAGTGAGTAGTGGCTAGTAAGTACACTAGCGCATAAGTATATGCGATTAGTATTGCTCTGAATAACAAGCAAAGCCAGATTTCAAGAAACTTGACTTGTTTCTGGAATCTGGTAGACTGGTAGTATACCACAACCCAAATGCCACGTCTCCAATGAACACTTGACTTCCAGATGCCACTGTCGTTGTCGTTGTGCGGTCGTTGTCGCTGGTTCTTGTCTTTTTATTTTCCTATATTTCTTTTCCTCTGCCGTGTGATTAAGTTAAGAAATTGCACGGTTTTTTTTTTTTTATTTCTTGAATAATTACACGGTTAACTTTTAATAAGTAAGCGTATGTTTCTTGATAAAAATATTAATTAAAATTACTAAGCATCTATCTATTTAAGCTGGAAAGAGAAATCTTTGTACCTTCCACAATATTGCAATTTCTCAAATCTAGAACATCCCCGTTCAAACCGATCATTGGCTAGGACTTGGTAAAAGTCTGTAAAGACCAACGCACTCCTTAGCGTTGAATATTCATCAGCTATAGTCCCACTAGAGAAATTAATGCACGACTATCAAACTACGGCCATTACACGTTCTTAATACTTTTTTTTCCTTTGTGCAAAAAAGATGTGTGCGAGACAAAAGTTGTGACTAGTAGCACCAAGAAAATGTTCACATAATGTGTTTCATATAACTTTTCCAAATCCAGTGTAGAAGCTCAATTTTCTGTCATAGGGCGGCAATAGAGTTGTAATAAATATTTGGAGCTATAATATATCATTAATGCATCTCACAGCAAAATAAAAAAAGTATTGCAAAATTAACAGTTTTTTATATGCAACTTATAGACTATCTTATTGGTAAAGTATTTTTTCATATCTTACAGTAGAATTTTCCTAAATATTTTTGAAGCATGTAGTATGTATTTCTTCCCCATATGATTTTGATTTATAAGAAAATTTCAAGTTTAATCATTGTTTTTTCCAACTCTATTATTTATGTCATTACACAAACTTTTGATAATTATAAAAAATAACCGAAACCTGAAGGTTACTAAAAGATAACTTGCAAGTTATTGGTGGCATAAAATAAATTTTAAAATAATGACACAAATAAAATAATTTTATCTATTTAATAATTTTTCTAAAAATTTCCCTTCATTTATATTGTAATGCAGATATATATCTAATTGTAATACTTTACACGTAACATAATCTTCTGGGAAAAAAAAAGCCTTCTTGATAGGTAGTCATCAATAAATAATAAGAGTACCAATTTTAGCAAGGTGCGAATTGACAATAAGACTTTTTCTTCTTTGTTTGTCTCCATTTCCCAGTAAATAGTTGTCTGCAAATTTAGCTGATCAGCCTGGTTACATGGATACGAAGACCAAGCCAAGGTTCATGCTTTATGTTATCTTCCTGTGCCTGTTTTTCAAGACTTATTTCTCACAAGGAATGAATACCATCTCTGAAGGCTATGTACTATCTGGCGATTCCACCGTTCTCTCTGCAGGCGGAGTCTTCCAACTCGGATTCTTCAAACCAGGCCCTGCTCCAAACTACTACGTCGGAATATGGTACGTCCAAGATCCTTCTCGGACGGCGGTTTGGGTGGCCAATAGAGAGAAGCCTGTCTCACCTTCATCTCAGCTAAGAATATCAGATGGCAATTTAGTCCTCTTTGATGAGTCAAAATCACCAGTTTGGTCCACAAATGTGAAGAACAACTCCACTACTGTACAAGGGATTCTTCTAAACACCGGAAACCTCGTCTTGAACGACATCGGAACTAATCCGCCAAAATCATTATGGCAAAGTTTTGATCATCCTACTGATACGTGGCTACCTGGTGCTAAGATTGGATACAACAAAATAACCAAAAAAGGCCAGGTTTTTACTTCATGGAAAAACTCGGAGGACCCTGCCCCAGGCCTATTCTCTCTTCAGCTAGAACCGAGCGACAACTCGTTTCGCCTTCTGTGGAATAGGTCTAAGACCTACTGGACTAGTGGACCTTGGAATGGACAGTACTTTAGCTTGCTCCCAGAGATGAGGCTTCTTTATATCTTCAATTACAGCTTTGTGTCAAACCAAAACGAGAAATATTTCATCTATACTCTTAAAAACACTTCCAATACTAGGTCGCGATGCGTTCTGAATGTTTCGGGCCAGATTAAGCAACTGAATTGGGTTCCTAATAGCGGATGGAATTTGTTTTGGAGTCAACCGATGAAACAATGCGAAGTTTACTCTCTTTGCGGGGCGTATGGTAGCTGCAACGACAAGTCCTTGCCCTCGTGTCGTTGTTTGAAAGGGTTTAAGCCGAAGTTGCAGAGTGAGTGGGATTTGGAGGACTATTCCGGTGGGTGCTTGAGAATAACCAAACTGCAATGTGGTAACACCACTCTTGCTAATGGTGGTCGAGACAGATTTCTAAAGATGCTCAACATGTCAATGCCTGAAAATAACCACTCTGTCCGAGTCGGGATTTCAGGAGAATGTGAATCGAGGTGTTTGAATAACTGTTCTTGCACTGCTTACGCCTATGACAGAAATGGATGTTCAATTTGGGCAGGAGATCTCGTTAATCTTAAGCAGCAAGGTAACAACAGTGAAAATACTCTCCATGTTCGACTAGCAGCTTCCGAGTTTCAGAGTCCTAATACAGGTAAAGGGACAAGGCCAATCCTTATTATATATATATATATATATATTTTATCGAGAAAAAGAGAAGAAACGGAAAGAAAACAGGGCAGCTAATAAGCTATTCTAATCTTTTTTATGTTATTGTATATTGTCACTCCAGTATTTGGCTCTCCAACACAGTCCAAAGGATCTTCACGAAATCGGAAGCTTTATGGTATCTTGTTTGGGACTATAGCTGCCGTTTTGGTCATCTCTTGCACTGCTTATTCTGTTTATTATCTGAGAAGGAAAAGAACGGCCAATAGACAAGGTGATTACAATGCCAGCCATTGCAAATGCACTCACATAAATTGACGCCTAAAGGAAAATATTTTTTGTTTCTTGTCACATGGATAATGAGTTTTTAACTTAAAATTGTCTTTGAAATTAGGCGTGAGGCGCATCAAAAGTTTCGTACGTTCAGGTGAATTTAAAGAAGATGAAAAGAAAGGTATAGAAGTACCCTTTGTTGTTTTGGAAAGCATACTAGCTGCTACAGATAACTTTTCAGAAGCAAATAAACTTGGACAAGGAGGATTTGGTCCTGTTTATAAGGTAATGTGGTGATCCTTTTTGTAATATTTACAATGCATCTTTTTTAAGCAGGTTTCAGATTAATAGAAGTGATGTTCTTTATGGAAATTTTCTTTAAGGGTAAATTTCCTGGAGGACAAGAAATTGCTATTAAGAGGCTCTTGAGTGGTTCAGGACAAGGCTTACAAGAATTTAAGAATGAGGTTTTGTTGATTGCCAAACTTCAGCATCGGAATCTTGTCAGACTTCTGGGCTACTGTGTTGAAGGAGATGAGAAAATGTTGCTCTATGAATATATGCCCAATAAAAGCTTAGACACGTTCATCTTTGGTGAGTTTCCGAATCTGAAGTTTAGCACAAAGAAGTAATAAACATCTTGATATTATTTCTTAGTTTTGTTTTTATATTGTTGTAGATGTAGCAGAGGATTGTCCGTTTTAGCAGTATAAACGATCTATAATTAGATTTAGTGTTGTTTAATTTTATAATCTCAAGTGCTATATCAGGTTTGCAAAAGGTTGTAGGGAATGTGTTCTGTTTTTAACGATTATCTTACAAAAATGTTGATACGTGTAGTGTGCTATAATTTGAAAAGCTGACTAAGATCATTATTACTTATTAAGCTAAATGCTTTTGTGTTTGATATCGAAATTTATGGAGATCAAAATCAATGTGTGTTGCTGAACTGGGAGATTCGCTTTAATATCATATTGGGAATTGCTAGAGGGCTTCACTATCTTCACCATGATTCAAGGTTAAGAGTTATCCACAGAGATTTGAAAACCAGCAATGTTCTACTTGATGAAGAGATGAACCCGAAAATTTCTGACTTTGGGTTGGCGAAGATTTTTGGAGGCAAGCAAACTGAGGCAAACACAAACAGAGTAGTTGGGACATAGTAAGTTTTGAATGGCACTATATATAACATTTGTTTGTTTGGATTTTAGCTTGGAGGTCCAAATCACCTAATCATATACTTCAATCCAACTTATCAGCTAACTAATTGTTGTCACGCAGTGGTTACATGTCCCCAGAGTATGCATTACATGGGTTATTCTCAATCAAATCGGACGTTTTCAGTTTTGGTGTTGCTGTACTTGAGATTATCAGTGGAAAAAGAAACACTGGATTTTACCAGTCAGAACAAGCTTCAAGTCTTCTAGACTACGTGAGTGTTACTATTGCATGTTTCTATTCTTAAAACCTACTGTTTCTCTCCGGTTGTAATTTTGGTAAGACTTTCCTAATGTATTGCAGGCATGGAAGCTATGGAAAGAAAACAAGGCACTGGATTTAATGGATCCACCATTGAGGGAGACTTGCAATGAAAATGAATTCTTGAGGTGTTTCAACGTAGGACTATTGTGCGTACAAGATGATCCAAATGATCGACCGACTATGTCAAATGTGGTAGTCATGCTTGGAAGTGAAAATGGAAATCTTCCAAGTCCTAAGCAACCGGCCTTTGTTGTGAAAAGACCACTTTCTAGCAGAGCTTCTTCTGAACCATTATCAAATAATGAGTTAACAGATACCTTGAATGAAGGCCGGTGACAATCTTTATCTGCGAGTCTTGCAGGTCATTGCCTTGAACAAGGTGGTGTCTGTTTTGTTGAGCATTGCCATGTACTTCTTTTTTGGTGTGAACTTAGTGTGTGTGTGAGCATAGAGGAAGATATGCTGTACGCGGTCATATAAACCTAAAGAGTTGACTAAAAGCCTGATTTTTAGTGTGTATAACTTTACAATAATCTAGTCAAGATCAAACTCTAGAACCAGAACAGGAGAATCTCATTATTGCCACAAGCAATGACGCTGAAAGTTCGATTGTCAAAAGCTCAAACATAATGTTGGGATTTTTGGATCGGCATTATTTTGCAAATTGAAAGATTTGATTTTGGGTTTAATATGGAGATTGATTTGCTGCATTGAATTGATTTAGAGATTGAATGGAAAGTACTTTAGCTTGCTCCCTGAGATGGGGCTCCATTACATCTTTAATTACAGCTTTGTGTCAAACCAAGACGAGAAATATTTCGTCTATTCTCCTGAAAAAAACAATTCTAGTACTAGGTCGAGATTCGTGCTGAATGTTTTGGGGCAAGTTAAGCAACTAAATTGGGTTCCTAATAGCGGATGGAATTCCTTCTGGGTTCAACCGACGCAACAATGCAAAGTTTACTCTCTTTGCGGGGCGTATGGTAGCTGCAACGACAAGTCCTTGCCCTCGTGTCGATGCTTGACAGGGTTTAAGCCGAAGTTGCAGAGTGATTGGGGTTTGAAGGACTATTCCAGTGGGTGCTTGAGAACAACCAAACTGCAATGTGGTAACTCCACTCTTGCTAATGGTGGTAGAGACAGATTTCTAAAGATGCTCAACATGTCAATGCCTGAAAATAACCGTTCTGTCCGATTAGGGAGTTCAGGAGAATGCGAATCGAGGTGTTTGAGTAACTGCTCTTGCACTGCTTATGCCTATAACAGAAGTGGATGTTCAATTTGGGTAGGAGATCTCATAAATCTTAAGCAGCAAGGTAACAGCAGTGGAAGTACTCTCTATATTCGACTAGCAGCTTCCGAGTTTCAGAGTCCTAAAACTCGTAAGGACACAAGGCCCATTATTATTTTATTCTTACTGAAATAAAGAAAAGAAACAGGACAGCTAATAAGCTATACTAATCCTTTTTGTATCATTGTATTTTTTCCACTCCAGAACTCGGACCTTCTGTAGAGTCTAAAGGATCTTCACGAAATCGAAAGCTTTATGGTATCTTGTTTGGGACCATGGCTGCTGTTGTGGTCACCTCTTGCACTGCTGGTTCTCTTTATTACATGAGAAGGAAAAGAATGTCCAATAGACAAGGTGATTACGTTGCCAATAGTCACGAACGCACTCACAGAGATCTTTGGTTTCTTTTCATATGGGAAAATAAGTTTCTAACTTAAAAGTTCTCTTTGAAATTAGGCGAGAGGCGAAGCAAAGACTTTGTACATTCAGGTGAATTCAAAGAAGACGAAAAGAAAGGCATAGAAGTACCGTTTGTTGTTTTGGAAAGCATATTAGCTGCAACAGATAACTTTTCAGCGGCAAATAAACTTGGTCAAGGAGGATTTGGTCCTGTTTATAAGGTAATGTGGTGATCCTTTTTGTAATATTTACAATGCATCTTTTTTAAGCAGGTTTCAGATTAGTAGAAGTGATGTTCTTTATGGAAATTTTCTTTAAGGGTAAATTTCCTGGAGGACAAGAAATTGCTATTAAGAGGCTCTTGAGTGGTTCAGGACAAGGCTTACAAGAATTTAAGAATGAGGTTTTGTTGATTGCCAAACTTCAGCATCGGAATCTTGTCAGACTTCTGGGCTACTGTGTTGAAGGAGATGAGAAAATGTTGCTCTATGAATATATGCCCAATAAAAGCTTAGACACGTTCATCTTTGGTGAGTTTCCGAATCTGAAGTTTAGCACAAAGAAGTAATAAACATCTTGATATTATTTCTTAGTTTTGTTTTTATATTGTTGTAGATGTAGCAGAGGATTGTCCGTTTTAGCAGTATAAACGATCTATAATTAGATTTAGTGTTGTTTAATTTTATAATCTCAAGTGCTATATCAGGTTTGCAAAAGGTTGTAGGGAATGTGTTCTGTTTTTAACGATTATCTTACAAAAATGTTGATACGTGTAGTGTGCTATAATTTGAAAAGCTGACTAAGATCATTATTACTTATTAAGCTAAATGCTTTTGTGTTTGATATCGAAATTTATGGAGATCAAAATCAATGTGTGTTGCTGAACTGGGAGATTCGCTTTAATATCATATTGGGAATTGCTAGAGGGCTTCACTATCTTCACCATGATTCAAGGTTAAGAGTTATCCACAGAGATTTGAAAACCAGCAATGTTCTACTTGATGAAGAGATGAACCCGAAAATTTCTGACTTTGGGTTGGCGAAGATTTTTGGAGGCAAGCAAACTGAGGCAAACACAAACAGAGTAGTTGGGACATAGTAAGTTTTGAATGGCACTATATATAACATTTGTTTGTTTGGATTTTAGCTTGGAGGTCCAAATCACCTAATCATATACTTCAATCCAACTTATCAGCTAACTAATTGTTGTCACGCAGTGGTTACATGTCCCCAGAGTATGCATTACATGGGTTATTCTCAATCAAATCGGACGTTTTCAGTTTTGGTGTTGCTGTACTTGAGATTATCAGTGGAAAAAGAAACACTGGATTTTACCAGTCAGAACAAGCTTCAAGTCTTCTAGACTACGTGAGTGTTACTATTGCATGTTTCTATTCTTAAAACCTACTGTTTCTCTCCGGTTGTAATTTTGGTAAGACTTTCCTAATGTATTGCAGGCATGGAAGCTATGGAAAGAAAACAAGGCACTGGATTTAATGGATCCACCATTGAGGGAGACTTGCAATGAAAATGAATTCTTGAGGTGTTTCAACGTAGGACTATTGTGCGTACAAGATGATCCAAATGATCGACCGACTATGTCAAATGTGGTAGTCATGCTTGGAAGTGAAAATGGAAATCTTCCAAGTCCTAAGCAACCGGCCTTTGTTGTGAAAAGACCACTTTCTAGCAGAGCTTCTTCTGAACCATTATCAAATAATGAGTTAACAGATACCTTGAATGAAGGCCGGTGACAATCTTTATCTGCGAGTCTTGCAGGTCATTGCCTTGAACAAGGTGGTGTCTGTTTTGTTGAGCATTGCCATGTACTTCTTTTTTGGTGTGAACTTAGTGTGTGTGTGAGCATAGAGGAAGATATGCTGTACGCGGTCATATAAACCTAAAGAGTTGACTAAAAGCCTGATTTTTAGTGTGTATAACTTTACAATAATCTAGTCAAGATCAAACTCTAGAACCAGAACAGGAGAATCTCATTATTGCCACAAGCAATGACGCTGAAAGTTCGATTGTCAAAAGCTCAAACATAATGTTGGGATTTTTGGATCGGCATTATTTTGCAAATTGAAAGATTTGATTTTGGGTTTAATATGGAGATTGATTTGCTGCATTGAATTGATTTAGAGATTGAATGGAAAGTACTTTAGCTTGCTCCCTGAGATGGGGCTCCATTACATCTTTAATTACAGCTTTGTGTCAAACCAAGACGAGAAATATTTCGTCTATTCTCCTGAAAAAAACAATTCTAGTACTAGGTCGAGATTCGTGCTGAATGTTTTGGGGCAAGTTAAGCAACTAAATTGGGTTCCTAATAGCGGATGGAATTCCTTCTGGGTTCAACCGACGCAACAATGCAAAGTTTACTCTCTTTGCGGGGCGTATGGTAGCTGCAACGACAAGTCCTTGCCCTCGTGTCGATGCTTGACAGGGTTTAAGCCGAAGTTGCAGAGTGATTGGGGTTTGAAGGACTATTCCAGTGGGTGCTTGAGAACAACCAAACTGCAATGTGGTAACTCCACTCTTGCTAATGGTGGTAGAGACAGATTTCTAAAGATGCTCAACATGTCAATGCCTGAAAATAACCGTTCTGTCCGATTAGGGAGTTCAGGAGAATGCGAATCGAGGTGTTTGAGTAACTGCTCTTGCACTGCTTATGCCTATAACAGAAGTGGATGTTCAATTTGGGTAGGAGATCTCATAAATCTTAAGCAGCAAGGTAACAGCAGTGGAAGTACTCTCTATATTCGACTAGCAGCTTCCGAGTTTCAGAGTCCTAAAACTCGTAAGGACACAAGGCCCATTATTATTTTATTCTTACTGAAATAAAGAAAAGAAACAGGACAGCTAATAAGCTATACTAATCCTTTTTGTATCATTGTATTTTTTCCACTCCAGAACTCGGACCTTCTGTAGAGTCTAAAGGATCTTCACGAAATCGAAAGCTTTATGGTATCTTGTTTGGGACCATGGCTGCTGTTGTGGTCACCTCTTGCACTGCTGGTTCTCTTTATTACATGAGAAGGAAAAGAATGTCCAATAGACAAGGTGATTACGTTGCCAATAGTCACGAACGCACTCACAGAGATCTTTGGTTTCTTTTCATATGGGAAAATAAGTTTCTAACTTAAAAGTTCTCTTTGAAATTAGGCGAGAGGCGAAGCAAAGACTTTGTACATTCAGGTGAATTCAAAGAAGACGAAAAGAAAGGCATAGAAGTACCGTTTGTTGTTTTGGAAAGCATATTAGCTGCAACAGATAACTTTTCAGCGGCAAATAAACTTGGTCAAGGAGGATTTGGTCCTGTTTATAAGGTAATGTGGTGATCCTTTTTGTAATATTTACAATGCATCTTTTTTAAGCAGGTTTCAGATTAGTAGAAGTGATGTTCTTTATGGAAATTTTCTTTAAGGGTAAATTTCCTGGAGGACAAGAAATTGCTATTAAGAGGCTCTTGAGTGGTTCAGGACAAGGCTTACAAGAATTTAAGAATGAGGTTTTGTTGATTGCCAAACTTCAGCATCGGAATCTTGTCAGACTTCTGGGCTACTGTGTTGAAGGAGATGAGAAAATGTTGCTCTATGAATATATGCCCAATAAAAGCTTAGACACGTTCATCTTTGGTGAGTTTCCGAATCTGAAGTTTAGCACAAAGAAGTAATAAACATCTTGATATTATTTCTTAGTTTTGTTTTTATATTGTTGTAGATGTAGCAGAGGATTGTCCGTTTTAGCAGTATAAACGATCTATAATTAGATTTAGTGTTGTTTAATTTTATAATCTCAAGTGCTATATCAGGTTTGCAAAAGGTTGTAGGGAATGTGTTCTGTTTTTAACGATTATCTTACAAAAATGTTGATACGTGTAGTGTGCTATAATTTGAAAAGCTGACTAAGATCATTATTACTTATTAAGCTAAATGCTTTTGTGTTTGATATCGAAATTTATGGAGATCAAAATCAATGTGTGTTGCTGAACTGGGAGATTCGCTTTAATATCATATTGGGAATTGCTAGAGGGCTTCACTATCTTCACCATGATTCAAGGTTAAGAGTTATCCACAGAGATTTGAAAACCAGCAATGTTCTACTTGATGAAGAGATGAACCCGAAAATTTCTGACTTTGGGTTGGCGAAGATTTTTGGAGGCAAGCAAACTGAGGCAAACACAAACAGAGTAGTTGGGACATAGTAAGTTTTGAATGGCACTATATATAACATTTGTTTGTTTGGATTTTAGCTTGGAGGTCCAAATCACCTAATCATATACTTCAATCCAACTTATCAGCTAACTAATTGTTGTCACGCAGTGGTTACATGTCCCCAGAGTATGCATTACATGGGTTATTCTCAATCAAATCGGACGTTTTCAGTTTTGGTGTTGCTGTACTTGAGATTATCAGTGGAAAAAGAAACACTGGATTTTACCAGTCAGAACAAGCTTCAAGTCTTCTAGACTACGTGAGTGTTACTATTGCATGTTTCTATTCTTAAAACCTACTGTTTCTCTCCGGTTGTAATTTTGGTAAGACTTTCCTAATGTATTGCAGGCATGGAAGCTATGGAAAGAAAACAAGGCACTGGATTTAATGGATCCACCATTGAGGGAGACTTGCAATGAAAATGAATTCTTGAGGTGTTTCAACGTAGGACTATTGTGCGTACAAGATGATCCAAATGATCGACCGACTATGTCAAATGTGGTAGTCATGCTTGGAAGTGAAAATGGAAATCTTCCAAGTCCTAAGCAACCGGCCTTTGTTGTGAAAAGACCACTTTCTAGCAGAGCTTCTTCTGAACCATTATCAAATAATGAGTTAACAGATACCTTGAATGAAGGCCGGTGACAATCTTTATCTGCGAGTCTTGCAGGTCATTGCCTTGAACAAGGTGGTGTCTGTTTTGTTGAGCATTGCCATGTACTTCTTTTTTGGTGTGAACTTAGTGTGTGTGTGAGCATAGAGGAAGATATGCTGTACGCGGTCATATAAACCTAAAGAGTTGACTAAAAGCCTGATTTTTAGTGTGTATAACTTTACAATAATCTAGTCAAGATCAAACTCTAGAACCAGAACAGGAGAATCTCATTATTGCCACAAGCAATGACGCTGAAAGTTCGATTGTCAAAAGCTCAAACATAATGTTGGGATTTTTGGATCGGCATTATTTTGCAAATTGAAAGATTTGATTTTGGGTTTAATATGGAGATTGATTTGCTGCATTGAATTGATTTAGAGATTGAATGGAAAGTACTTTAGCTTGCTCCCTGAGATGGGGCTCCATTACATCTTTAATTACAGCTTTGTGTCAAACCAAGACGAGAAATATTTCGTCTATTCTCCTGAAAAAAACAATTCTAGTACTAGGTCGAGATTCGTGCTGAATGTTTTGGGGCAAGTTAAGCAACTAAATTGGGTTCCTAATAGCGGATGGAATTCCTTCTGGGTTCAACCGACGCAACAATGCAAAGTTTACTCTCTTTGCGGGGCGTATGGTAGCTGCAACGACAAGTCCTTGCCCTCGTGTCGATGCTTGACAGGGTTTAAGCCGAAGTTGCAGAGTGATTGGGGTTTGAAGGACTATTCCAGTGGGTGCTTGAGAACAACCAAACTGCAATGTGGTAACTCCACTCTTGCTAATGGTGGTAGAGACAGATTTCTAAAGATGCTCAACATGTCAATGCCTGAAAATAACCGTTCTGTCCGATTAGGGAGTTCAGGAGAATGCGAATCGAGGTGTTTGAGTAACTGCTCTTGCACTGCTTATGCCTATAACAGAAGTGGATGTTCAATTTGGGTAGGAGATCTCATAAATCTTAAGCAGCAAGGTAACAGCAGTGGAAGTACTCTCTATATTCGACTAGCAGCTTCCGAGTTTCAGAGTCCTAAAACTCGTAAGGACACAAGGCCCATTATTATTTTATTCTTACTGAAATAAAGAAAAGAAACAGGACAGCTAATAAGCTATACTAATCCTTTTTGTATCATTGTATTTTTTCCACTCCAGAACTCGGACCTTCTGTAGAGTCTAAAGGATCTTCACGAAATCGAAAGCTTTATGGTATCTTGTTTGGGACCATGGCTGCTGTTGTGGTCACCTCTTGCACTGCTGGTTCTCTTTATTACATGAGAAGGAAAAGAATGTCCAATAGACAAGGTGATTACGTTGCCAATAGTCACGAACGCACTCACAGAGATCTTTGGTTTCTTTTCATATGGGAAAATAAGTTTCTAACTTAAAAGTTCTCTTTGAAATTAGGCGAGAGGCGAAGCAAAGACTTTGTACATTCAGGTGAATTCAAAGAAGACGAAAAGAAAGGCATAGAAGTACCGTTTGTTGTTTTGGAAAGCATATTAGCTGCAACAGATAACTTTTCAGCGGCAAATAAACTTGGTCAAGGAGGATTTGGTCCTGTTTATAAGGTAATGTGGTGATCCTTTTTGTAATATTTACAATGCATCTTTTTTAAGCAGGTTTCAGATTAGTAGAAGTGATGTTCTTTATGGAAATTTTCTTTAAGGGTAAATTTCCTGGAGGACAAGAAATTGCTATTAAGAGGCTCTTGAGTGGTTCAGGACAAGGCTTACAAGAATTTAAGAATGAGGTTTTGTTGATTGCCAAACTTCAGCATCGGAATCTTGTCAGACTTCTGGGCTACTGTGTTGAAGGAGATGAGAAAATGTTGCTCTATGAATATATGCCCAATAAAAGCTTAGACACGTTCATCTTTGGTGAGTTTCCGAATCTGAAGTTTAGCACAAAGAAGTAATAAACATCTTGATATTATTTCTTAGTTTTGTTTTTATATTGTTGTAGATGTAGCAGAGGATTGTCCGTTTTAGCAGTATAAACGATCTATAATTAGATTTAGTGTTGTTTAATTTTATAATCTCAAGTGCTATATCAGGTTTGCAAAAGGTTGTAGGGAATGTGTTCTGTTTTTAACGATTATCTTACAAAAATGTTGATACGTGTAGTGTGCTATAATTTGAAAAGCTGACTAAGATCATTATTACTTATTAAGCTAAATGCTTTTGTGTTTGATATCGAAATTTATGGAGATCAAAATCAATGTGTGTTGCTGAACTGGGAGATTCGCTTTAATATCATATTGGGAATTGCTAGAGGGCTTCACTATCTTCACCATGATTCAAGGTTAAGAGTTATCCACAGAGATTTGAAAACCAGCAATGTTCTACTTGATGAAGAGATGAACCCGAAAATTTCTGACTTTGGGTTGGCGAAGATTTTTGGAGGCAAGCAAACTGAGGCAAACACAAACAGAGTAGTTGGGACATAGTAAGTTTTGAATGGCACTATATATAACATTTGTTTGTTTGGATTTTAGCTTGGAGGTCCAAATCACCTAATCATATACTTCAATCCAACTTATCAGCTAACTAATTGTTGTCACGCAGTGGTTACATGTCCCCAGAGTATGCATTACATGGGTTATTCTCAATCAAATCGGACGTTTTCAGTTTTGGTGTTGCTGTACTTGAGATTATCAGTGGAAAAAGAAACACTGGATTTTACCAGTCAGAACAAGCTTCAAGTCTTCTAGACTACGTGAGTGTTACTATTGCATGTTTCTATTCTTAAAACCTACTGTTTCTCTCCGGTTGTAATTTTGGTAAGACTTTCCTAATGTATTGCAGGCATGGAAGCTATGGAAAGAAAACAAGGCACTGGATTTAATGGATCCACCATTGAGGGAGACTTGCAATGAAAATGAATTCTTGAGGTGTTTCAACGTAGGACTATTGTGCGTACAAGATGATCCAAATGATCGACCGACTATGTCAAATGTGGTAGTCATGCTTGGAAGTGAAAATGGAAATCTTCCAAGTCCTAAGCAACCGGCCTTTGTTGTGAAAAGACCACTTTCTAGCAGAGCTTCTTCTGAACCATTATCAAATAATGAGTTAACAGATACCTTGAATGAAGGCCGGTGACAATCTTTATCTGCGAGTCTTGCAGGTCATTGCCTTGAACAAGGTGGTGTCTGTTTTGTTGAGCATTGCCATGTACTTCTTTTTTGGTGTGAACTTAGTGTGTGTGTGAGCATAGAGGAAGATATGCTGTACGCGGTCATATAAACCTAAAGAGTTGACTAAAAGCCTGATTTTTAGTGTGTATAACTTTACAATAATCTAGTCAAGATCAAACTCTAGAACCAGAACAGGAGAATCTCATTATTGCCACAAGCAATGACGCTGAAAGTTCGATTGTCAAAAGCTCAAACATAATGTTGGGATTTTTGGATCGGCATTATTTTGCAAATTGAAAGATTTGATTTTGGGTTTAATATGGAGATTGATTTGCTGCATTGAATTGATTTAGAGATTGAATGGAAAGTACTTTAGCTTGCTCCCTGAGATGGGGCTCCATTACATCTTTAATTACAGCTTTGTGTCAAACCAAGACGAGAAATATTTCGTCTATTCTCCTGAAAAAAACAATTCTAGTACTAGGTCGAGATTCGTGCTGAATGTTTTGGGGCAAGTTAAGCAACTAAATTGGGTTCCTAATAGCGGATGGAATTCCTTCTGGGTTCAACCGACGCAACAATGCAAAGTTTACTCTCTTTGCGGGGCGTATGGTAGCTGCAACGACAAGTCCTTGCCCTCGTGTCGATGCTTGACAGGGTTTAAGCCGAAGTTGCAGAGTGATTGGGGTTTGAAGGACTATTCCAGTGGGTGCTTGAGAACAACCAAACTGCAATGTGGTAACTCCACTCTTGCTAATGGTGGTAGAGACAGATTTCTAAAGATGCTCAACATGTCAATGCCTGAAAATAACCGTTCTGTCCGATTAGGGAGTTCAGGAGAATGCGAATCGAGGTGTTTGAGTAACTGCTCTTGCACTGCTTATGCCTATAACAGAAGTGGATGTTCAATTTGGGTAGGAGATCTCATAAATCTTAAGCAGCAAGGTAACAGCAGTGGAAGTACTCTCTATATTCGACTAGCAGCTTCCGAGTTTCAGAGTCCTAAAACTCGTAAGGACACAAGGCCCATTATTATTTTATTCTTACTGAAATAAAGAAAAGAAACAGGACAGCTAATAAGCTATACTAATCCTTTTTGTATCATTGTATTTTTTCCACTCCAGAACTCGGACCTTCTGTAGAGTCTAAAGGATCTTCACGAAATCGAAAGCTTTATGGTATCTTGTTTGGGACCATGGCTGCTGTTGTGGTCACCTCTTGCACTGCTGGTTCTCTTTATTACATGAGAAGGAAAAGAATGTCCAATAGACAAGGTGATTACGTTGCCAATAGTCACGAACGCACTCACAGAGATCTTTGGTTTCTTTTCATATGGGAAAATAAGTTTCTAACTTAAAAGTTCTCTTTGAAATTAGGCGAGAGGCGAAGCAAAGACTTTGTACATTCAGGTGAATTCAAAGAAGACGAAAAGAAAGGCATAGAAGTACCGTTTGTTGTTTTGGAAAGCATATTAGCTGCAACAGATAACTTTTCAGCGGCAAATAAACTTGGTCAAGGAGGATTTGGTCCTGTTTATAAGGTAATGTGGTGATCCTTTTTGTAATATTTACAATGCATCTTTTTTAAGCAGGTTTCAGATTAGTAGAAGTGATGTTCTTTATGGAAATTTTCTTTAAGGGTAAATTTCCTGGAGGACAAGAAATTGCTATTAAGAGGCTCTTGAGTGGTTCAGGACAAGGCTTACAAGAATTTAAGAATGAGGTTTTGTTGATTGCCAAACTTCAGCATCGGAATCTTGTCAGACTTCTGGGCTACTGTGTTGAAGGAGATGAGAAAATGTTGCTCTATGAATATATGCCCAATAAAAGCTTAGACACGTTCATCTTTGGTGAGTTTCCGAATCTGAAGTTTAGCACAAAGAAGTAATAAACATCTTGATATTATTTCTTAGTTTTGTTTTTATATTGTTGTAGATGTAGCAGAGGATTGTCCGTTTTAGCAGTATAAACGATCTATAATTAGATTTAGTGTTGTTTAATTTTATAATCTCAAGTGCTATATCAGGTTTGCAAAAGGTTGTAGGGAATGTGTTCTGTTTTTAACGATTATCTTACAAAAATGTTGATACGTGTAGTGTGCTATAATTTGAAAAGCTGACTAAGATCATTATTACTTATTAAGCTAAATGCTTTTGTGTTTGATATCGAAATTTATGGAGATCAAAATCAATGTGTGTTGCTGAACTGGGAGATTCGCTTTAATATCATATTGGGAATTGCTAGAGGGCTTCACTATCTTCACCATGATTCAAGGTTAAGAGTTATCCACAGAGATTTGAAAACCAGCAATGTTCTACTTGATGAAGAGATGAACCCGAAAATTTCTGACTTTGGGTTGGCGAAGATTTTTGGAGGCAAGCAAACTGAGGCAAACACAAACAGAGTAGTTGGGACATAGTAAGTTTTGAATGGCACTATATATAACATTTGTTTGTTTGGATTTTAGCTTGGAGGTCCAAATCACCTAATCATATACTTCAATCCAACTTATCAGCTAACTAATTGTTGTCACGCAGTGGTTACATGTCCCCAGAGTATGCATTACATGGGTTATTCTCAATCAAATCGGACGTTTTCAGTTTTGGTGTTGCTGTACTTGAGATTATCAGTGGAAAAAGAAACACTGGATTTTACCAGTCAGAACAAGCTTCAAGTCTTCTAGACTACGTGAGTGTTACTATTGCATGTTTCTATTCTTAAAACCTACTGTTTCTCTCCGGTTGTAATTTTGGTAAGACTTTCCTAATGTATTGCAGGCATGGAAGCTATGGAAAGAAAACAAGGCACTGGATTTAATGGATCCACCATTGAGGGAGACTTGCAATGAAAATGAATTCTTGAGGTGTTTCAACGTAGGACTATTGTGCGTACAAGATGATCCAAATGATCGACCGACTATGTCAAATGTGGTAGTCATGCTTGGAAGTGAAAATGGAAATCTTCCAAGTCCTAAGCAACCGGCCTTTGTTGTGAAAAGACCACTTTCTAGCAGAGCTTCTTCTGAACCATTATCAAATAATGAGTTAACAGATACCTTGAATGAAGGCCGGTGACAATCTTTATCTGCGAGTCTTGCAGGTCATTGCCTTGAACAAGGTGGTGTCTGTTTTGTTGAGCATTGCCATGTACTTCTTTTTTGGTGTGAACTTAGTGTGTGTGTGAGCATAGAGGAAGATATGCTGTACGCGGTCATATAAACCTAAAGAGTTGACTAAAAGCCTGATTTTTAGTGTGTATAACTTTACAATAATCTAGTCAAGATCAAACTCTAGAACCAGAACAGGAGAATCTCATTATTGCCACAAGCAATGACGCTGAAAGTTCGATTGTCAAAAGCTCAAACATAATGTTGGGATTTTTGGATCGGCATTATTTTGCAAATTGAAAGATTTGATTTTGGGTTTAATATGGAGATTGATTTGCTGCATTGAATTGATTTAGAGATTGAATGGAAAGTACTTTAGCTTGCTCCCTGAGATGGGGCTCCATTACATCTTTAATTACAGCTTTGTGTCAAACCAAGACGAGAAATATTTCGTCTATTCTCCTGAAAAAAACAATTCTAGTACTAGGTCGAGATTCGTGCTGAATGTTTTGGGGCAAGTTAAGCAACTAAATTGGGTTCCTAATAGCGGATGGAATTCCTTCTGGGTTCAACCGACGCAACAATGCAAAGTTTACTCTCTTTGCGGGGCGTATGGTAGCTGCAACGACAAGTCCTTGCCCTCGTGTCGATGCTTGACAGGGTTTAAGCCGAAGTTGCAGAGTGATTGGGGTTTGAAGGACTATTCCAGTGGGTGCTTGAGAACAACCAAACTGCAATGTGGTAACTCCACTCTTGCTAATGGTGGTAGAGACAGATTTCTAAAGATGCTCAACATGTCAATGCCTGAAAATAACCGTTCTGTCCGATTAGGGAGTTCAGGAGAATGCGAATCGAGGTGTTTGAGTAACTGCTCTTGCACTGCTTATGCCTATAACAGAAGTGGATGTTCAATTTGGGTAGGAGATCTCATAAATCTTAAGCAGCAAGGTAACAGCAGTGGAAGTACTCTCTATATTCGACTAGCAGCTTCCGAGTTTCAGAGTCCTAAAACTCGTAAGGACACAAGGCCCATTATTATTTTATTCTTACTGAAATAAAGAAAAGAAACAGGACAGCTAATAAGCTATACTAATCCTTTTTGTATCATTGTATTTTTTCCACTCCAGAACTCGGACCTTCTGTAGAGTCTAAAGGATCTTCACGAAATCGAAAGCTTTATGGTATCTTGTTTGGGACCATGGCTGCTGTTGTGGTCACCTCTTGCACTGCTGGTTCTCTTTATTACATGAGAAGGAAAAGAATGTCCAATAGACAAGGTGATTACGTTGCCAATAGTCACGAACGCACTCACAGAGATCTTTGGTTTCTTTTCATATGGGAAAATAAGTTTCTAACTTAAAAGTTCTCTTTGAAATTAGGCGAGAGGCGAAGCAAAGACTTTGTACATTCAGGTGAATTCAAAGAAGACGAAAAGAAAGGCGCCTCCACAAGGGAGGTAACTCCAGCTCCACAAGGGAGAAAAAGAAAATAACAATAATGTCCTCCGACTTAAGGGAGGCATTCAAGTTATAATCACGGTGTCGTGGGGGACCTTGCAAACCCTCACGTTCTGATGATTGCGCGCAAGTGGTACGCGAGCACTCGGGCCCATCAGTAAGAAAGATAAGATAAGATAATAAGACTATGATAAGACATCATAATTAAGCATAATCAGCTCATGCATATTTATTCATGTGTACTTACAGTTATTTTGTGAGATATAGTTCCTACTTGCTGAGCGAAAGCTCAATCAGATATGTTCATGCTGTAGGTAAGAAACCTATCAGCATCTCTTGGAGGGCAATGGCGAGCAGCGGACGAATGGTGGAGATGGGAATGGATACCGCCCCCGCAGTTACCTTCCGCAGTAAGTTTAAGAAAAATCATGTATATGTATATATGATTTAAAGGTTTCAAGCATGTATGTTTAAAAAGTATAGGTACATATGTATGTTAAAGAAACCGAGGTTGTAGCTAACAACCCTCGTTTTGAGTATTTAAGTTTTAGAACGTTGCAACAGAGCATGCAACAAATAAA